ACACACACAAACACACACACACACACACACACACAGGGATAGATAGATAGATAGAGGCACTGGAAACAAAATTGAACCCAATATTTGTGTTTAATTATTATTATAATTAATGATATTTGTGTAAATATCAGTGTTATTATGTGTGTGCCATGTGGAAATGCTGTCTATGTGGAAAAGCTGCATGATAGTTTGGATGCTTTCTAGAAGTCAGCTATGTAGCTAGGCAGTAAGGCAGCTCACTATGAGAACACAGCTAGTTTTAATAAAAGATTGTGGAGCACTTGAGGAATCCTTCTAAGGGAAAAATTGTCCAAAAAAGTCTCTTAACGCTCTTCCCACACGACTGGAACAGAAGCTAATGAATATTGATTACACAAAATTATGGGATAAGAGATGGATTTCCCGTAGGTGTATGCGCTCCGAGCATCAGCCGTGCATCTGTTGTGAAACGCTGTTTAAAAACCCAGCGTAAACTCCATCGCTCTGACCGTCAGCCGCTGGCCTGCACCGCGCAAAAGATATGAAGCGGCCAGCACATATTGCCAAACAATAAACAGCACGAAACTAATGCGATTTCAAATGCCACGTTTGTCCCTTACAGCTGAACTGATCCGTGAAAATGCTTTTTGTCACGGCACAAAGACAATTTGACAGTATTGATAGAGCGCTTTATGAGAATAATCATAATCTGGTTCCTGTTTTTGAAAGCCAATCCATGAGGCATTTTGCACTACTTGGATGACAGCAGATAACAAGTGTGAGATTTTATAATACAATCTCCTGCAGTAATCAGTAACCATAAACAGAGTGCATGTAAAATGAACTAAAAGTATCACTAAAAGAAAAGTTTGCCCAAAAATTAAACACTACTATCGCTTTAAATGTGGTGGTGATTCAAAAACATGTCCAGGTGAGCAGGATTCCTCAGAGAGCAGGTGTCCGCTCTGAATTTGATCATTTCAGAGGGCAAACACTTCAGAAACCAAACTGTGACCTTTCATTTAAAACAAAGACACGGCCTTGACCAACAGGAATCAGCCAGCAAAAAGAAAGCAGGTGAAGCCTCTTACCTCTCGGCAGGGTTTGTCAAACGGCGTGATGTTCAGTGTTTTGTGAGAACGGCAGATGTTCATCATCTGCACAGGTGTTGTGGCTTCCTTCTCTGACAGCAGCAGCTCTCAGCGTTAAATACTGACATCTGGACTGTGAGCTCAGCTGATCTGGCTTCTGATGTCATTTGTGAACACCACAGGTTTTTACACTCTTTTAAATATGTTAACAGTTTCTCTTCAGTCAAGTCCGCTTTAGAATAATTGTCATTAGCAAAAAATGTAGCAAGCTAAACTAACAGCCGCTTCACAGAACAGTAAACAGCAGATAGAAAATAATAGCTAAATAATGCTTAAGATAGATAATATAAATTAAATGTAATACGGTACATTTTTTTCTGGCAAAAATGTATTTAAAATGTAATATTAAGCCAAATATGCCAAAATATAGTGCAAAATGGACATTCTAATTTATTGAGATGCACCTGTATATATATGAACATTGGATTAAAAATGCTAAATAATTTGGATGATAATGCAGATTTATAATGCACATTATGAGGTCATGTGACAGTTTAACATATGACCATTTAAAGTGTGTTTGTGGCATTTTCACATACTAATTTGGCAAATTGTAGGCTGTATACAGTATATACAACCCATATGCAATAATGATGCTTATATATTTTGTACTCATATTTTTGACTTATGAAAAATTGATTTTATGTACACACATTTCTCTCTCTCTAAACACCAAATTATTGCTGTATTTTACAGTAAGTGAAGCTTTGATTCTGAGTTTTCTTTGTGTGTGTGTATATATATATATATACACACACATATACATACATACATATATGTATGTATATTTGGCCAAACCAAATATATTTTGCTAAACGACATTTTAATAGATTAGATACTATGTGAAGATTTAAATAGATATATAATGTAAATCACCTTAATTCAATTTCTTTAAAGCAAACTCTTTTGTAATTAAATGAAATTGTCTTCTTTAATACAGCCGTTAAAATGGCTGCCTTGATGTTAGCTTTTCAGTTCTCCGGAGGGTTTCTTTCTCTTCCTGCGTGTTAATCTCCGATCACTTCATACAAAGAGACATTCATTAGCAGGTCAGACCAAAGGAAAATGAAGCCTCTTTAGAGTTCAACTAGAGAATGGAAACAGATCAGTAAAAAAAGTGCAGTGCGAATTCATCTCATGTCTCATAGCGATCCGACAGACCTATCAGAATCACGGCAAACGCTAAAGCACTTTCAGTGGAATGAGAACAGAATTATAGTTATCAAGAAAAATGTACCTCAATTCAATGGAGTTATTACACTCTTTAAAACATGTCTCAAAAGTACTTAAGCAAATGAATTAGCTTGTGTTACTATTCCCAAAAACGTCTAGAATGTTCTCAAAGTTCTTCAAACCGCTTCCAGGATGGTTGTAGTTTGATAGTTGTAGGGTTATAGTTGGCTTTAAAGGTAATAAATGTGTAATTTTATAAAGTTAAACACCTACGCTGGTTTAAAATGCACACTGCAGATTTAATTGCACCTCTGTCCCGCTCTCCTCCATCAGATCTGGCCTCGTTACACCCGTTCATTCATCATCTAGTCACACATTAACATAATATTAACATAATTAACATGCGTGTGTCACTGACCAGAGGGCTGTTAAACATTGTTCACACATCTCCTCTAGCATGTTTGACATTTTAAAGTGCTGAGCGTGTAGCTTACAACGCAGGTAGAGCTACACACGGTCAGTAATTATGCAACATGCTAGCCTCAGGTACAGGAACTTTGGAGATAATTAATATATTAAAACTGCACTCACATCCTCTCCACTACACCCAAATGATTAGAAAAGAGAATTAAAAGATGAAATTCAGTGTGATTCCCCTTCAAGTATATTCATGAGGACAAAAACTGCAGCTAATGTTAGCAACAGCATGCTAACATGCTACTTGCACTATTTCTGCAGGATGAACTATGGGTAATTCACTGTATATTGAATTTTAGTATGCACTGAATGCACAGATGACTCTATATTTGATCAAACGTGAAGTATACAACAGAGCATGGAGTACTGTATCCCACAATGCAATGCAACTTCCTTTTAGAATGTTAGAAGTAATATGAGCCACAAATTTCTTTTGTTGACATCTTAACGTTAAAGCATTTTAATGAACATTGGATTAAAAACAAATAATTTGGATGACAACGCCAGTTTATAATGCACATTATTAGGTCATGTGACATAAGCGATAGCATGTGAGCATTTTAAGTGTTTCTGTTGCATGTTCACATATAATTCCTCAAGGTAAAAGTAAATTCAGTCTAAAAGTAATCTAAAAAGTAGTCAGAATACATTACCTGAAATAAGTAATCTAGATTGTTACTTCATCATGTAATCTGTAATCAGTAATTTTTACTGTAACTATCTTTACTGTAACTTTTTTACTTAAACTTTACTGTATTTTACAGTAAGTGAAGCTTTGATTCGGAGTCGTCTTTGTATTGACAGGTGGTGGGTGTTTAAATTCCTGCTGTTTCGGTCTGTGATATAAAAAATCTGTGAGAATAAGCAGGTGAGAATGTGTTACTGACAGAACGTCTGTATGCGTTTCTAATTTAGCCGAGACTTCTGAAGCAAACCCAACCTGCAGGAAATATCATTCCTGTCAAGAGGCCATCTTTAAATCCTGTTCATATGCGTATGACGATAAAATAAAAGCTTTTATGATTTTAAAAGTGCTCTATTCCGGTGTCTTTTGAAGGGAAATGAGCACTCTTCAAATGGATAATTACACCTTAATCTTCGGTTCTATAGTGAAATCGTGAAACACGCCTGTCAGAGGAAATCAGAAATGAAAACAACATTGAGAGAGCGAATCTGAGATGTCTCTGTTTGTATGCGTCAGTCAGCATCCAATAAACCCAAAACAGTTATTTTCTATTCATTAGATAAATTAGTCGGAGTGCCTCATTCTGGGAGTTTCCGGATGATTCTGCATCTCTAAAGAAAACCATAATTTTCTCTGCCTGTCTCTTTTTTCCCTCTTTCGATAAGCGATTACGGAATTATTTCCAGTACTACGAGGAGGTGAATTTATTTTTATGCTCTCAAAGCTCTCTAGAAAAGTTCTACAGAATGCATAATATAATTTCAGTGGCACCTGGTTTTCTGTGTGTTCCCTGATAAGATCCTACAGGCATCTATATGGTCATCAGCTCCAGTTAGGATCAGACAATGACCACTTTTAAAACCAGGATAAGTATTAGGCTCTTTTCTCCTTTAAGCTTCTAATTATAATAAATCTCCTTATTTTGAGTCATTTTCTTAAGCCCCCTTCACACATACTGTGATTTTATCATGGAGGTCATGAGGTTTCTGTACTGTTGGTTGCTAAAAGGCGCTGGATGAGCGTCAATGGAAGCTTCACAACTATTGAAAATCTGATCGAAAATGAGATGCACTTGTGATAAAAACAAGATGTTCTATTTTGATAAGAAGCACCCAATGGCTTCCAGTAATTTTGTCGTTGCAAATCACTGTATGTGTGAACCCTATTATTCAGAGAAAATGTGAAAAATGTTCTTGCTCAGCTCTTACATAGAACTTTACAACTTTCAGAAGGTCCTGCATTACCATAATGACTCCGACAGGGACACAGGAAACCCATTATGATAAAATGACACTGTTTTCTTACCTGCTGGTTAATATTATTTCACATTAACTGCGCAAACGCCAAAGTTTCCCCTGCAGAGCAAAATAAACAAGACACAGTTTTGATAAAAAAATCTCCATAGATTGTTTAATACAACATACCATATTTTCAACAATTCAACATCAATAAAATTGTGTTAATTAAAAAAAAGAAAGAAAACAAAATGCATATTACCTTTATTGCACAGAACAATTTAAACATTTTTCATACTAGATTTTTTCACCTTTTTAGGTTTCCGTTTTTTTCTTTAGTATAAAAGGATATAATGGACCACATTAATGCACATTATCGTCCTGGGCTGAATGTCGGAGAGGGCAGAGGTCATATAAAGATTTATTCGACGTAATAGGATGAAAACAGCAGGTAGACCACAGAGGCAGAGGATCAGAGAAAGATTCAGGTGTGTGTGTGTGTGTGTGTGTGCATGTGTCAGATTAACGCTAAAGTGGATCAGTAAGGGTTAAACCATCTGTCCAGCCTCTCCATCTGCAGCCCCAGTCAGCAGTACAAACCACTTAGCGAGGCGAAACCCATCTACACCCGAGCAAAATCCAGTGCATAAACACAGCTCAGCGTCCTTCCACAGAAATCACCTGCCCTGCTTGGCCCAGATTAAACACACACTTAAAACACAGTTGGACTGTGGAGCGAATTCATTTAACTGTTGCATTTCAGCACAAAAACCTGCTTCATACTCACTAACCAGTCCATTTTAACCGGTCTCTATCTAGCACTGCACAACTGTGCTCTCTTTTCAGCATAAAACATGCCTACTTTCAGTTTACACCCACTTTTTTATTCACAAACACTGTGCTATTACCTCCTGTGGAAATAGAAGCGAAACAACATTATCCTAGAGCGCTCATTCTTAGTGAATTCCCCTCTTGCATGTAGACATCTGTCATCGTAACAAACCAGCACCGTTTGAGTCCTTAGATGTGCTGGGTAGCATTTAAAATGTTTCTTTGGGTACCGACGCTTCATATAATGTAAAGAAAAACTGATCCGAGACCATAAGACAGGTCTAAGACTAAGACCATTAGACAGGCGCGAGACCGTAAGACAGGTGTAAGACCCATGAGACAGATCTGAGAGCATGAAACAGGTGTGAGACCCAACGGCAGCCGCAGGTGAAGGTGATTGAGTGCTGTCGAGCATATTAACACTCTCACCTTTTGATGAAATGATTGATTCTGTTAGGAACAGCTTTCGCACATACACACTCTGAGATAGAGCTATACATTCTCGGTGTAGCTTCTCAGGTGAATAAAACTTGGAATGGGTTTGTTATATAAAAATGTGATGCTGCAGTACCGTTAAATGGGTCTAAACCTGACCAGGCACTACAGAAATGCTCACTGCAGGCTACAGTGATCATTTCTACATAAAGCAAAACACACAACAAAAGTCACATAATTACCGCTGCTTTCACTTGCCAAGCCATTAATCCAACAATAAACAACCTGTATTTGTTTATCCAGATGCTTGAGTCATAAAATTCCCTCGGCTTATCCAACAAATGCATTAAAATGCGGATCCGAAAGCAAAATGAGAACCAAACAGCAGAGTACAGATACAAAGAAAGAAATGTGCTGTGAAAGTTGCACTATACACATATTTCTCTATGGTGGGAATAGAAATGCAATCTATTATATTCCACGTTCTGTTGTTAGACACAATGTAGAAGACGAATTTGGGCAGCTGTTTGGTTTGTTAAATGTGCTTTTCACCTCTGATTTATCTACTGTTATTCTGTCATAAAACTATTCATGTAAGTAGAAAACAAGAAAAGAATGGGTTAAACAAACAAACAAACAAAAAGGATGCGGGCAGCAGGACAGCAGGGAGAAGGATGCTCTGCCTTTGCCTTCTGGAGGTCGAAACAAAACATTTTGGAGGTTCGGTTTTTCCTTTTTTTTCTATGTTTTTTTGCCCATAAAAATCCACAGGAACTGAAGTGTTTTAAAACAAAATCCTCTCTCAAAGATATTGGTCCCCGTAGGCTGAGTTTAAGCGGCCATCACAGAGGAGTGCGCATGAGGACATTTTCCCCCTCCCATGTTCAATATTGAACAAAAGCACCGACACCTGTGCCGCACATCCATCTTTAGAAAGGGGGAAAAACACCCCTCCTCTATGGGGAGCTCGTCAGAGCCAGAGGTTGTTCAGGCAGGGAATCTCTTGTTTTTGTCTTTACGAGTCTGTTTTTGAAAGGGTCTTTTGAGCTCCTTGGCTGGATTATATCATTTTCATGTTAAATTTCCGAGGGGCATCAGCGCCGCTGCTGCTCATCCCAGCGTCCGATTTGCGCGGGACGTACTCTATCTCAATGTTGTGTTTGCTGTTGCCTTTGCCTCTGCTCCAAAGAAAGAGCAGAACAAGGCAGAACAGAACCACACCCAAAAAGGAGATGAAGCCCATGGTGGTGGCGATGATTAGCGTCTTTATATCAAATGGGAACGGGACTGTTGCTCTTGTTCCATTGGCTCCGTTGTCGTTGGGTTGGTTGGAGATAAACGCCAAGGTTTTGTTGGGTTGGTTAGGCCAGTCTGGCGAGTAACTGTGGATGTGTAGGTGGGCCAAAGTGGTGTCATTTCCACCGGCGTTGCTAGCAATGCACACATATGTCCCATTGTCCTGAATCTGAGCGTAGCGCACCTCCAAGGTGCCATCTGGGAAAACAGTGAGCCGTCCTATCGTTTTCGTGGTGATGAACTGTTTTTGTGGGGAAAGCCACATGATGACGGGTGTCGGGTCTCCATCTGCTTGGCAGACAAAGTGGACGGTGGTGCCTTCATCAACGAACTTCTGCTGGGGTTTCCGGTCTCGAATCCTAGACTTGCGACACGTGAAGTAATTGGGTTGCAGCACGTCAGGGAAGTCCTTGAACTCTTTTCCCTGAACGAACTCGGGTGAGGAGCAAGTTGGCTGCTGGCGGTTGAAGTTGAGCCTCCAGCGGCGTCGGAAAACCCAAAGCAGACGGCAATCACAAGCCAGCAGGTTGTCGTACAATGCGAGGGTCTCCAGGTTCCCCACCGAATGGAACACTGACTCCTCTAGGGTGCTAAGGGAGTTGCTGGACACATTGAGGACTTTCAGGTAGTTCAGTCCTCTAAAGGAATAGGGTTCAATCATTGTCAGTCGACCGCCCACCAGGTGGAACTCTTGCAGTCTGAGCAGGTCATGGAGCCGGTTGCCTTCGATCATCTGGATGGGATTGTAGGACATGTTAAGGAAACGAAGATAAACCAGGTGCCGCAAGGCCAAATACGGAATTGATGTCAGGTTTACGTTAGTGATCGTTAGGGAGGTAAGATTCAATCCGTACAAGCAGTTGGTGGTCATGGTATCCAGGTAGGGCCAGTTGGCAATCTCCAGCACTTTGAGACGGTAGAGCCGCTTGAAGCTGTAGTCTCTGATGCTGTTGATGTTGAGGTTTCGCAAACGCAGCGTGACCAAGCTGTGCAGGTGCGTGAAGGCCTCTGTCGGGACAGAGGTCAGGTTGCACTTTTCGAGCGTGAGCTGCTCCAGGCTGCTGAGGCCGTGAAACGCCCTGTGGGATATGAAGACAAGGTCATTATCCCCAACCTCCAGAGAGTGCAAGTTGTAGAGGTCCTGGAACATGTAGTCCAGCAGAATTACGATTTTATTTTCACTGATGTCCAGCTTTGTTAGGTTACTAAGGCCCGTGAACACTCCCAGCTGGATGAGCTTCAGCTTGTTGCTGCGCAGTCCCAGAGTCTGCAGGCCAAAGAGGTTGTTAAAGGCCCCTGGCTCAATGGTCGAGATGGTGTTTTCACTGAGCTCCAGCTCTTCCAGCTGCGGGAAGGCGGAGAACTCATCTGGGTTGATGGTTTTGATTCGATTCTTGCTGAGGTCCAGGAGTCGTGTTTCAGATGGGATTCCCTCTGGAACGGACATCAGCTTCTTGCGGTGGCACAAGACAGAACGCTCCTGAGCATTGCACTCGCAGCGTGATGGGCAGCCCGTGGCAGAGCCAGACAGCACTGTGCCCAGCATTAAGATTAGAATGGGCTGCCAGCATGCCACCAGGAAGCTGTGCCCACTCACTTCCCCTGCTACCATCCTACCGGTTACCTGCACAGACAGAGAAAAAGAGAAAAAGAGTGCTGAGATATAAAATATGCAATTCAAGGCATCCAAATCAATAAACAATTATACCACACAGTATTGA